CTCAACAAAAATTCTCACACTCACAAGTGTGGTAATCTCACTATTTGTCTTATACTCACCCGGTGCAGAATCCTCACTATTTCTTTCACACTCACTCGGTGTGGTAATCTTTCTCAATCTCTCTACAAAGGAAACACTTTTATAAGCACACAAAAAACTCTCTCAGCAGCTCTCTCTATTCCTTGCCGCTGGAATGCTTGAAATCAGTTAATTCTGGCATTTTACTTAATTCATATATTTCTACTTTAATTCATTTTAATCAGTTATAGGATTCTCTATTTATTTATTTTTGCATAGGATTATGAGAGTTTGGATCGTGATAATCAACATGATGTAGAGAAAGATGTCTCTTTAATCTACATTTCAAGAAATAGAAGATGGTATGTAAAAAGAACTTAATGTTAACTAATTTGTGTATATTTTCTTGTTAATTTTAACCCACATATCTGTCAATATTATTATTATTATTATTATTATTTTTTATTTTGCTTCATTTATTTTGACAGGATATGTTCGCCTACTGTTTTGACAAGCTTTGGGAGCATAATGTTGAAAAAGTGAATGTTGCGTCTTTTTGTTCTTTTCTTGGAAATGATCTAATTCATCCTTTTATTTTTCTTAAAACATGATTGTTTGATCTTTTTTTTTTTTCTATTAATGAATGTTTGATCTGTTGGTCTTACATGTTTTGTAACTAACGGCACATGTTCATAGAACCGGTAGTGAAAGATATACTTGTTAATTAGAAAACTTTCTTTGTCTCTCTCTTCTTTGCTCTGTTTCTCTGTGTGTTTGTATAAATATTACCCATATATATAAATAGACCATATAAGAGTCCCATTCACGTCATTGACAGATTGCCCAAAAAAAAAAACAAAAAAACAAAAAAAACAAAATCTTACTGGCACAACAAGTAATGGCACAATTGTAATTTATGGAACATGTAATGGCTTGACTGTCCAAGGAATAAAAAGTAAGGACACGTGTCTGCCATAGAAAGAGAGAGTGTGCTAAAGATTGATATCTCAGCTGCACATAGCACTCCTCTTAAAGAGGAAGGACTCAATATTAAATCACGTTGATTCGTGAATTTAAGTTTTTAATTTAAGTTAAAAAAATAATTTTATTTGAAAGTTTTTAATTATAATAAAAAAAATTAAATATAATTTTTTGTGAGGTTTTTAATTATAATAAAATTAGAATTAAGAATTTAAATTGGTGAAATAAATGAAACTTAAGGATCGATACTCACTAATTTTTGTAGGTAAACAAAGGAAAAGATAATCACTCACGTTGAAGACTTAATCTACATTTCAAGAAATAGAAGATGGTATGTAAAAAGAACTTAATGTTAACTAATTTGTGTATATTTTCTTGTTAATTTTAACCTACATATCTGTCAATATTATTATTATTATTTTTTTTTTTGCTTCATTTATTTTGACAGGATATGTTCGCCTACTGTTTTGACAAGCTTTGGGAGCATAATGTTGAAAAAGTGAATGTTGCGTCTTTTTGTTCTTTTCTTGGAAATGATCTAATTCATCCTTTTATTTTTCTTAAAACATGATTGTTTGATCTTTTTTTTTTTTCTATTAATGAATGTTTGATCTGTTGGTCTTACATGTTTTGTAACTAACGGCACATGTTCATAGAACCGGTAGTGAAAGATATACTTGTTAATTAGAAAACTTTCTTTGTCTCTCTCTTCTTTGCTCTGTTTCTCTGTGTGTTTGTATAAATATTACCCATATATATAAATAGACCATATAAGAGTCCCATTCACGTCATTGACAGATTGCCCAAAAAAAAAAACAAAAAAACAAAAAAAACAAAATCTTACTGGCACAACAAGTAATGGCACAATTGTAATTTATGGAACATGTAATGGCTTGACTGTCCAAGGAATAAAAAGTAAGGACACGTGTCTGCCATAGAAAGAGAGAGTGTGCTAAAGATTGATATCTCAGCTGCACATAGCACTCCTCTTAAAGAGGAAAGACTCAATATTAAAACATTACGATTTTAAGTTTTTAATTTAAGTTAAAATTTAATTTTATTTAAAAAATTTTAATTGTAACAGAAAAAGTTAGATATAATTTTTTATAAAGCTTTTAATTATAATAAAATTAAAATTAAGAATTTAAATTAGTAAAATAAATGAAGTTTAAGGATTGATATTCACTAATTTTTATAGGTAAACAAAGGAAAAGATAATCACTCAAAAGTAAACATGCCCTTGGTTGAAGACAAGCTCGGGATGCATACTTGATGGCGAGGAAGTTTCTTCATGTTAATTCTTGTATGCTTCATGCCAATATCAATATGTATGCATCATGATCTCGTGTAGACTGTAGAGTTATTTTTTTTTAAGAGGAATTAAGCTCTTTTACATCTATTTATTACGGTCAAACCTCAATTTGTTGATAAATATTTTTTTTTTCTTAAGAAATATTTATTACAATAGTTTACGTTCTTTTCAAAAACACAAAAACTAAACCGTTCTCAGTTCTAACTTTAATTATAGGAATAAATTTATCAAAGGTCCCTCAATTTTTTTCTCTCTCTAAAATTAGTTCTTATAGTTAAATTCATCTCATAAATGGTCCCTTAATTGAAAAAATATCTTATAAATAGTTTCTCTGTTAAAATTTTAGATGGAATATGTTAAATTGGATGGTGGTTATTATTTTTAGGTTATCTCCGTTCATTTCACCGATTAGAATTTAGAATTCGAGTTTTACTACAGTAAAAAGCGTTCAGAAACAATCACATCTAATTTTTTTGTTATAGTAAAAAAACTCACATAAAATTACATCTCAACTCGAATTTAAAACTCAAATCAGCGAACTAAATAGATTATTTACACTTTTATCTTATTTGAGATCTCTAAATATTTTGTACATGTCTAAAATTGGTTATTAATATTTTCCTCTCTAATTAATCTCTAAATTTTTATTTTTGTTGTTTGAATCAAATTTTATCCGAGTGAAGTTAAGTTTTTAAACGGATGCAACACCTCTTACACAATTAAGATAATTATTCTGAAAATTATTATTATTGTATCAATTGTACAAACATTATATATATATATATATTTACCTTCCTCTTTTCTCATGCATAGGGCTGGCAATATGGGTCACGACACGACTCGAAAACGACATGAATTTTACAGGTTAGGGTTGAGAAAAAAGAGGTTTGGGTCAGACTTGGGTCGATCTGAAATTGACACGAAAAACACGGGTTAATTTCAGGTTGGACCCGCCTAACCCGAACACGACACAAAACTCGTAAAAAACTAAAAAATACATATATTTTTCATTTCATATTTTAAATTTTATTATGAACTTGTGATATTATGATAGTTATACTCAAAATCTTATACTATTATTTGCTTAATTTCAATAGATGTTATTGTAATTTAGTGTGTTATGAATTTTAAGTTATTTCTAATATGTAAAAAACTAAATAAAAGTATACAATTTTCGTGTCAATTTCGGATTCACAAGTCAATTTCGTGTCACGGGTCATTTTCAGGTCGTGTCGTGTCAACTCGTAAAGTGGTCGTGTCGTGTTCGTATTGCGGTTTTTAAAAAATTTCGTGTCACGGGTCGTGTTCGGGTTGACTATAAATTTAAAAAAAAAAAACAATCAAAACACGACACGTAACACGAATTGCCACCCCTACTCATGCACTTGTATCAGTTGATGTTTTTATTTTTGTTTCGGAACTTCTACTACATGTGTCGTGCATTCTGCTCTTCTTCTTCTGTTTTTTTTAGGTAAATGCATTATGGTCAAATTAAGATATAGCCACTTATTAATTATATCAAGTATTAAGATAGAAGAATTTACTGATAAAGAGGGCGGCATTCTTTTGTAGTGTTTTTTTTTTTTTTTTCAATTGATAAGAATAAAGTGAAGGTGGAAATATCTATAAAACTAGAAAAAAAAATAATGATAGTAGTCCCTCACAATAATCCAACGTTAAGAAGGAAGAGTTTAAATTCTATCTACTTCATAAAAAATAGTTTAGCTATTTCATAACATAAGAAAATAAATAAATAAAAGAAAAAAAATAACCGAAAAATCATAACTACCATTCAATATAATAGTTTCTATTCAAAAATTTAATTGAGAGACCATTTATGAGATATTTTTTCAGTTTACGGGCTATTTATGAGACAAATTTAACTGCAAAGACTAAGGGAACGTTTGGTTGGAGGATTCAAACTATGATTTGAATCATGGTTCATGATTCACTAAAGTGTTTTCTCTCACAAAAAATACACGTTAATCAAAAAACAGTTCTAATCATATGATTCTAATCCATGAACCAAAGCTCTCCTAATTCTAGAGAGAGAAAAAAATTGAGGAACTTCTCATAAATTTATTCCTTAATGATAAGGAAAAAGAAAGAGAAAAAGACATGCATGCTTTTAAGTTTTACCAGTCTCAAAGACGATCAATAAAATGGTAATGAAAATCCTCCATTCAAGCCTGTCTTGAGCTGTATTTTATATACGTTATTATTATGTGTTCAATATGTTACTATGGGAATCACAAAATTGGCTCCTTCTAAGTTCTAAGCAGAAAAACGACACCTGAAACAGCAGTACTTTTTCAACGTGAAACTTGAAGTACCCCTTGTTTTGTTCATCTTTACGTATGGACGTATATGTAAAGCGTTTTTACATCGCAAGTATTAGTGCATTTTGAAACCGTTAGGTCTCTCGCATGCTGCCACGTGTAAATTACTTCCTCCTGGCTTAGTTGTAAAGAGCCACTCAGAAACCGTCCGCTTTATTACCTGAATTTATAACACGTGATAGAAATATTTCAAGCCAAATGCATATTATATATATAATATAAAAATTCCAAAATTACCACATTAATTTTGCATGCTTTACAACGGTCATCTCCTCATTCGCTCTCTATTTATTCACACCAATTCTCACCCCCCACAATTCCCATCACTCTCTCTCTCTCTCTGATCTCTTTATCTCTCTCTCTCTCATACATTGAAAACGTTATTCAGTCACTCTCTCTGCAATAACATTAATGGAATTCTCTAAGAGAATTTCTGGGTTTCTTCTCTTCACCATTTTCCTACATTTTGTTAGCGACTCTCAGGCGTACAAGTTCTTTGTTGGTGGAAAAGATGGCTGGGTTTTGAACCCTTCTGAGAATTTCAATCACTGGGCTGAAAGAAACAGATTTCAAATCAATGATACTCTACGTAATCTCTCTCTCTCTCTCTCTCTCTCACACACACACACAAACATTAAACATATGTATCCAATTATATATGTATATATATATATATATATATATATATATTTATATAAAACGTTTGCATGGACATAGTTTTAAGATTTTTGCTTTGGTGCAGTTTTCAAGTACAAACAAGGGTCAGACTCCATTTTGGTGGTGAACAAGGACGATTACAACTCGTGCAACATCAAGAATCCGACAACGTCGTTAACAAACGGCGACTCGGACTTCAAGTTCGACCGGTCCGGTCCGTTCTTCTTCATCAGCGGCGATGCGGAGAAATGCCAGAAGGGTCAGAAACTCCACGTTGTCGTTTTAGCTGTGAGGAACAAACGACACCATGCCCCGTCTCCTTCCCCAGCGACGTTGCCTCCAAGTAGTAGCATTGTACCGACGCCTGCGGCCGAGAGCGAGTCTCCGGAACAAAGAGCTAACCCGTCGGAGATCGATGGTCCCGCGCCCGCTCCGACCGAGCATTCGGGTGCTCCGGCGGGTTTTGGCCATGGTTCAGTGTTGTTTAATTGGTTGGTTTTTTGTGCTAGTGTTGGAGTGAGTGTGGTTTTTGGTAGCTTTTGTGGGAGTGGTGTAGTAATTTGATTGGGTTTGGGTAAATAAATGCTTAAGCTGGAAACAAGTGAGTTTAATTCAAATGTAAGAACTTTGGTTTGGTGAGGGGGAACTCACAGTCACATCATTATTTTTGTTGTTTCTAAGCTTTTTATTCCATGGGAAAATTGTTCTCCTTAATAATTTTATGCATCCTTTGATACATGACTTTTTTAGAAATGTTAATGTCTTCATCGAGAACATTAATGTTATTGAGCTCATCAAGCTGTTATGGTCAAACCTAATTTGTCTGTCATAAAGGCATGGTTTTTACCTGTTAGCCAAACCAGAATAGTTCGGTGTTATTTTCTCTTTTTTCTTTAAAACCGACTGGTCCAAAAATGACTGGTTGGCTCAGCTGTGAACCATGTATGTTAAGTTTGAGACTCTTAATTAGGCTACATCAAATCCAAATTAATAAGCACGTTTGAGTTCAACAAATCCGTAAAATAGTTTGATAGGTCGGCGTAAATTAAAACTTTTCAACCGGATTTTTTTTTCAGTATACAATAAAGTATCTATAAAATAGATATAATTCATGGCTCTTTTAAGTATGTATAGATATAGATTTTTGTGATCTTTTTATACCTTAAATGTAGAATCCCAAAAATTTTTGTGTGAATTAGTTACACAATTTAGTGTGTATATACAGAAATGGTTCGAAACCGGAAACAATTTTGACCGTTTTCAAATTTCACAAATATGGTTTCAAACCGTCAAAAAGATGGCTATGATGTAGAACTAGATGGGTAGTCTAAAAACTGTTGAATTGATCCAACGATTTGCAGTCTACTTTGCACAATCATTTTTTTTTTTTTTTTTCGTAAGCTTTCATTTTCCTGTCTCGTTTTACTTTAATTGCCGTTATTCCTTTGTTTTGTCGTTCATCTATTGTCTCTTTTCCTTTGTTATCCTTTTACACGTTTAGTCGTTTTGTTACTTTAGTGTCGTCATTCATTCTGGTGTCCTTCACTTGTATGGGCATATTGTTTTGTGCTTGTGGTGGATTTAGGAAATTTCTATTCCAATTTTGTCAAAGTAGAAAACAAAACAAAAGGGAGAAGAACGTAAGTATAATTTTTTTTTTAGAAGCAAAAATAAATCACCGGATTTCTTTTTTGAAAATATAATAAAATAGCTAAATTTTGTTAAATTGAAGATTTACTAGATTTATTCCATAATTAAATTTGATAAATTTAGAATCTATTATTTTTACTTTATAATAAAATTTGATAAATCAGAATTTACTCGTTTTCAATTTGAAAGTTTCAAAATTGATCAGATTTAACTCATGACGAAAATTTGATAAAACTCCAGATTTATCTCATAATTAAATTTAGTAATTTCAGAATTACCGTATTTACTCCCATGAAAAATAAGGAAAATAAGGAAAAGTAAACAATGTAATATATAAAAGAGATTAAGGTACTTTTCATAGTTAAATTAAACCTTTTAACTTAAAAAAATAAGAATTTAACCTGAATTTAAAATGCAAATTTTTTAGAATATGCGAAGTTATAAATTTGATACAGCACATTATATGAAAGACATAAATTTATTGGGTCCTTCTATGGTACTATGGGGTATTTTTTGGACTACCGGTAAGACTCTTTTTTAATTTTTTGTTTGAACATGATAATGTGGTGCAAATTAGTGTTGCAAGTTCGGGCGGTGGGCATGCCCGGTGCCCGAAAATTTTTAGGCACGGCGGGCAGGTGCCATTCGCCACCCGTACATGGTATTTTCTTAGACACGGGTTTGGACAGCTCAAAAATATTCATTCCCCCGACTGCCCGCCGCCATGGAGAAGTCGTCCCCCGCCATCCGCCAGATTTTTTTTGAATTTTCCGGCGTAACCCGAATGTGCCTGAAATTTTTTGACCGTTGCCTGAATTTTTTTTACCGTTGCCCGATTTGCCCATTGCCCAAAAAATGCCCGAATTTTTTTGACCGTTAGCCCGAAAATCTGCCCGAATTTTGAACCCAAAGGATCTTTTTGCACGAACCCGACCGGCCACCCGAAAATTCGAACCCAATGGCTATATTTTTTATCGTTACCCGACCTGCCTGAATTTTGCCCGACCCGCCCGATTACCCGAAAATGTTACTAGCCGTTGGACCCAAATTTTTGGGGGAAAATTTTTTTTTTTCAGGCCAAAATTTTTTTCTATAAATACCCCCCCTCCCTCCAACTATTTTCCTCACCTAAAAACTCTCATTCTCTCTCAATTTCTCTCAATTTCTCTTAATCTCTCTTAATCTCTCTTAATCTCTCTCAAATCTCTCTTAATCTCGCTTAAATCTCTCTCGATCTCTCTTAATCTCTCTCAAAGCGCTCTCAATCTCTCTTATTTTTCATAATGGCTTCTTCTGGTTATGGTGGCGATATTCCCATTGATGCCCAATTCAACATCGAAGAAGGGCAATTTCTTAATGTTTTGCAAACGCAGGAATCGCAAACTACGGAAAGAGTTGCTGAGGAAACTGCAAATCCGACCCCTGGTGGACGTACTAGAGGTCGGGGACATAATGGTGGTAGCATTGGTGGCCGTGGAGGAGAGGCAAGCGGTAGTGCTAGTGCAAGTGTTGTAAGTTCTAAGAAGAAATGCAAGCGCACCTCAGCAGTTTGGGAGCACTTCAACACATTCAAGGAGGTCGACAATAACGGTAACATTAAATACACAGCTCAATGTAAATATTGTGGTGAGAAATTACAAGGTAACACTATTCACGACACTACACACTTAAGAAAACACTCTGAAAAGTTTCTTCAAAAGCAAGGAGGCGAAGCTGATCTCCGCCAAACGCAATTATCGTTTAACTGCCAAATCGGCAGTCTAAGCACGTGGAAATACGATCCGCAAGTTGATCGTATGGAAATGACACGATTAATAGCCACATTAGATCAACCACTAAGTTTTACTAAACAAAGAAATTGGCAGCGTTATATTAAAATTGTACATAATCCTAATGCACAATTTTTTCTAGAACTACTCTTGGAAAAGATGCATTAAAATTATATAAACAAGAAAAGGAAG